CCCTTCTACCCCTCCCATCCTGGACTCGCGACTCGCTCTTCGGCTCTCACTGTTCTAAATCGCTTCACCGTGATCCCCTTCACTGTTTTTTTTATCCGTATTTACCAATTCGTCTCGACTCGATCGCGACTATCTATTATTGATAATCATTCGGACTCGGTAACTTTCGCCGGATAAAACTGCGCTTCGTCTCGCTCGCGCCAACTTGATTCACACTCGCGCACCTTCCACGGCAACGAAACCTTTTCTCGAATAATTACGACGCTTTGTTCTGCCCGGCGCATCCGATATTGTGTGAAAAGTAATCGACGCGCGAATTTTACTAGATAAGTAGGCTCTCGTAGGAAGACACAAGAAACTTTTTATTAAATACTATCGGGAAATAAAAAAAGATGAAAGAAATTACATATTATCGTATTGTAACGGTAAAACTTTATTCTTACGATAGATTCTGATGTCGCGGAAACATGATCGAAGCAACACGTTGGTATCAAAAATTATCGAATCGTAAGTGCGCCACTAGGTAACGCGGACCCTTAAGTCCCAATAAATGTTTCTCGTAAGTAGTCGTTTCATTGGCTTCGATATTATGTACGAATTCGTTAAGAGAACAAACAAAGATAATTAAATACAATTCAATAATTGATTAAAAAAAAGGTATACATCGTAAAGGTACACTCGTCAATGTGCAGATGAATGCGAGTAAAATAAGTAAAACGTAATGTAATTTTCTTCCGTCGAGGAGAATGGAATATTTAAGAAATTTTCTTAATTCATAATTTTACTTCTTTCTTGCATTTAGATCCCTCGCATATTTTCTCACATTCTGCGTTCCGTTATTTACTCGTAGTTACCGTATATGACGGCTCGTTCATAAAAGTCGTAGCACAGTAGTGTCTGGTATAAGTTGCTCTTTTATTATCGTCGCTATTAAATTTCTGTATTGCATATGGATGCATACATACATATACATTTATCTAAAAACTGTTATTTTCCTGTTTGTAATACAATACCGCTCAATGGTATTTTATGTAACAAGTACCTTTAGTCTCATTAATGATCTAATTTTTTCAATCCATCTCTATCTTTTTTGCTTTTATTGTCACAGTACCAATCCTCGCGAACCACCGCTGCTAATGTACATATCACGAGCTTAAATACGTGTATCAAACCCACACGATATTAACGATTATTATCGTACGCTCGTCGGATTTACACTTTAATACCAAGATACACGTAAGTCGCCATACACGCTAGGTTATATTTAGTCTTAAATCACACATAGATCGCCAAAAGTATTTGATTCAGCATCGTAGCAATAATAACGTAGGACCTTTCCTTTTTCTAACTCGTACCATACTAAAGACTAACTATGTAATTCCCGTGCTGTATCGCACAATACAGTACTTCAGTGCTGGAGCATTTTGTCTAGCGTACAAGGTTTTTGTTTGTTAACTTTTGTTCGTTATGTTTATTGTAACTCCTTGCAAATAGCATTATGTCTTTTTTTTCTTGACAGGATAAACGTTCGTTTTCGAAAGAAGAAGATATACCGCAATTAGAACGATTCGGTACGATATATGCGACGATACATTCGATCGGGAGGATCGAAGATGACGCGCAAAATCTTTTACAATTTCTATCTAACAATTTCTAACTTTTATACAAATAGGCGATGATTCACTTTTTACCAATAAATCTGTATATTTTTTATACCGCTGTATACACGTTACGGTACGTATTACGAGATTAAACGAATCAAAGCGTATTATTTGCATAGCTATTACGTAGGTCGTTCATTAGGTAATCTCGATACGCAGCGGGAAGCGTAATTGAACGTGTTTCTATCTCTGATCTGTGATCGTTCCCCCACAAGATCGGAAAGACAAATTCACCCCGAATCGAATCCTATTTGTCCAACGCGGCCAGAGGTGGCTGCATCCAGATGAAATTTCGCGTCCCAAAGGGGAACAAATATTGCAAATTACCGATAACAATCAGCCGACAAGGGGCGGTGATTTCGAGGTAATTCAAATCAAACCCTCCGCTCTAATTTCCATTGATTTATTTCCGTTGTCTAAATCGCGACAGATGCGATCAACCGTGCTACTCTCTTGGCGCAAGAAATTACTCGGTTAAAATTTATACAGTGCCCTCGTTAATCACACACACGCGAACACACGCGTACATATAATCGACGACACAGTTTCAGATTCGATAATTAACACCTCTGAAGCGAGATATCGGAGGAAACAGGGACGATTGTTATTCCAATTCGATCGGAGGAAGCTCGGTGTCGCTTTAAAAATCGTCCGGCGAAGAGCCGCTAGTCACCAAAATTATCACGAGCATCTTTGTTTTCGCAGCTCAACGCCACTCGATTTATCCCGCCTTCATGCATTTATTCCGGCGTTTCCGCGATTCCGAGGTCCTTTTTCAGCGAGCAGCACGAAGAAGACGGCCAGCCGCTTTGCTGCCCCTTGAATTAATTCCCTGCATACGTTAATCTTAATGAATTCACAAACGCGCCCCATCGTGTCCGACTCTAGGGGCACATCGGCGAGGGTTCCGCTTACAGGTGCCAGCACGCAAACTCGAGGCCACGAGGCGAGCCATTAAAATACCAGCCTGTATACACGCCGACTCTCCTTCTTTCTGCACGTCGCATTTATGCGACGCCACGCGACGTCGCGTTGCCGAAAATTGCACGACCGCCTCCCCCCCGTTCTTCTTACGTTTCGTCACCGGTCGATAGACTAAATATTTATTTATATACTCGTTATAACGAGACCCTTTCGGACGATATTCGAAAGAAAGATGACTTTAAACAAGATATCGCGATAGTTGTTGCGATTGAAAAGCACTGTGACTTATTAAAATTTATTTTTAACGGAATTACAAAGACGCGAAAGTGCATAGGAAAAGAGAGATCGAGGAGAGACGATGGAGGAGAGATTCGGGGAATTCGTTAATTAAGCAATGCGAAAGGAATAGAAGGTTGGCGTGCTATTTGCGGATGTAAAAGGGCTGGCCGTGTACATAGGTGCGGCGCACCGCGTGTTTTTATTCTAGATCGACGAGAATTCAGCGTGGATGATTTTGCAGGACGCGAAATATTTAGGTATAGAAAGCAGTAGATGCGGGACCATAGAGTCGCAGGAATACCACAGGAAGATAAGTAGCGACGCGGTGAATAGACTAACGGGGCGCTGCAAAAGCCGAGAACGAAGAAAAGGGAGTGAAAGGGGATAGGCGGTGTCGAGGATTGGTGGTTTTATGCATCATGCATATTTACGCTCACATACTAGCTGTAGAAGATGACGAAGCGGGCCGGCGAGGGTTCGGCAAATTGCGAGCACCGTATTTATGCAAATGCCTGCGCATTCGCGTTGCACCTTGCGCCACCTTCTTTACCGATCTTTCGCCCAGCAAATTGACTTCGTTAGAATCTGCACCGAATCTTGCTCGAATTCTATACGTTATCGGAAGAAAAAAGGAGCCACAAAGGGAGAAGGAAGAGGGAAGGATAAAGTCAACGAAGAAACGGAGAAACCACAAAACTCGGATAGACAGAAATATCGCGTAGAAAAATGGAAAATCGCGTTGCCAGATTTGTTTGGAATTTTCGTTTTTTGCGGGCGGTGTTGACTCGCGGCGCGGAAAAGCCAGAGCCGGAAAAGGGAAAAGGGAGCGCAGAGAGAAGGCGAGAAAACGCGACCGTTAAGCCGCCCCCGGGGAGAACAATCACGATATCGCGGCGAGCGACGCGTTCTCTATACCAGGAGAAACGTTTCACATCCAATTTGTTCCTCTCGTTTCGCGGTAATCGCTCGCCAATGACTTTCTGCCCCTCGTTCCCTCCTTTTCGGAGTTCGATGCTCGTCAGGCCGTACGCTTTTCACGAAGCGTGCACCGAGATCCTGCCACCCACGAAGCCGTTCGGTTCTCGTTGCACCTCGTCCGTGTGTTTCGTAAGGGTTGTCGCTGGAGCCAACCCCCTTTGCGCAAGCCGCTTTTCATCGACCAATCGACGTCGAGCCGTCGCGACTTCCACC